GTGTCACCCAGCATGGGCATATCCTCAAAGCTGAGATAAACCAGATCATAAGTTATCTATGTCCTTCCATCAAGTGCGAAGCAATTGCGGCTGGCTAGCTTGAATGCAGACTTGCCCAAACAGATTTAATCCAGGAAACCTAAAGAGATAGCAACAGTATCCACTTGCTATCTCGGAAGGAAAACACTTCTTCATATGACCCTTGGTCATTCACCAGTTGTGTATCTTACAAAATAAACCACATGGGCTTGTCTCCAGTCTCTCACCATACTAAAATCTATTATCACAATAGATAAATTACGGTTATACAAGCCACTCTGCTTCTTCCCATTTTTAACCTGCAGGTCCTGGGAATGCTACCATAATATTCTTGTGTCTCATGTATAAACCCCCTGCAAATCCACCAATTCCTCGTATACTAAAGAGAAAAATCACTATGTAGGGAACGAACAGTCATGAATGATTGGTCATATGCTTGTACAGTATTTTGTCTGGACTTTGGAGGACTATCAGGAATTTTGGATTTTATTGTTGCCCTCAAAGGGGAGACTGGTTTAGTGGTCACGACAGCAATGCCAACAACAAAGATTMGAACCACTTTTTCTGAAGGCTGCACAGCTAAGCAGGTGACATTTCGATCTGCTGTAGTTTCCTTCTTTCTAGACRTAAGAAGCAACACAAAGAAAAAAGCATATGAGTTTCCATCCTTTGGTTTCTGCTTAAGTTTCTGCTGTATACAATCCAAAAGCCAACACAGTGGGCCTTAAGAAATTATCAGGCAAAGGTACTGATCTTAAGGGAAGTGGCAGCAGGCTCTGCTGGCCATTTCCACTGCTCCTCCATTGCAAATGAACAGGATCCAACCCTTTTAAAAAAGCTATTCCAAAGCTTTGAACATGGTAAACTTTAAACATTATCTTATAAAGCAACAGTTCCCTAAAAATGGAAATCCCTATTGATAGGAGTGCATSAGCAAGAAGACTTAAGTACTATAAAATACACAGACACATCTCCTCATAAGCACAGGAGAAAATGCTGTCTACAGGACTTAGGAGCAAGAAACTCACTGTATTTTATTAACCACCAACTTTCCAGATCTGTAAGAGCTATTTATACACTTCAATCCCTTTGGCAATATTGGCTCTAAGGTGTTTTTAACATCTCAACCCAAATTACCAAAGTAATCTCAACCCAAAGTATCTATGGATTTCCAACTCCATTTTCACTTCCAACTATTTCAATTCTGTTCTTGCCTGATCTATAACTTATGTTAAAACATATGGCAGTGTATTTGCTAAAAAATCCCTCCAAGAGTATATACCCTAAATCAATTCTAAACAGCTTCAGATTTGAGATCCGGAAGTGGGTAGAAGGAGAACCTTAGAGCGCTTTGTTATTTTTCTGCTGGGGTTTTGGTTTGTTGATTCTTTTTCTTTTTTTTTTTTTTTTTTTTTTTTTTTTTTTTTTTTTTTTTTTTTTTTTTTTTTTTTTTTTTTTTTTTTTTTTTTTTTTTTTTTTTCCCTATGAAACTAACTAAAGCAGCCAAAAGTTATTTAGAGTTAGTTTATGAAGTGAAAATTCTGTAAACTTTCTACTGGAAAGGCAATTTAATCTCAGTTCCAGATACAGACATGCTCAATATTAAAAAARCTCCCAAACCTTCATAAAGGTTATTATTAAATACTTTGGAGAAAGATTTAGGAAAAAGATTTAGGAAAAATACTGCACATGCATTCAGTAGGAATCCCCAGTGGTTGTCTCATTTACCTCATTACACACATGCATGCACACACACAGAGTGTTAATTGCACTCCAAAAGAAAACTGCAGGCCCAGACTGCAAGGAATTAGATGGGTCCTTCCCCTGGTTCCCTCCTCCCAATGGACGCCTACTATTCTTCTAAAAATTACCCACAGAAAAAGAGAGTGCTAATTGTAGCTATCACAAAGTGTTTTTCCATCGTCACAGAAATTTAATTCCTAAATTTGAACCAGTGCACACGCAGAGGCAGAGACCAAATAGAGGTAGGAGTGATGATGAATCCACGCAGCAATTCACTCTAGCAGGAAAAATTTAAACACACAACAAGATCACAATCCCATAACTGGCATATCCACGTCAAAACCTTGAAAAGCTTATTTTCAGCCTGTTAAAGCTAACTGATTCAACACCTTCCTGTGAGAACATCGTGTAGCCCAGACACTTGCCTCCCATACCACAGAATTACCACAAAATGCATCAGTTCCCTCTTTGGGGCTTGTTCTCTTACATTTTTCCAGGAACAATGTGGGACCTCTTTCTGACCCACAGTAATGAGATGCTTAGCTCAAATCTCAGTACCTGGTAAGACTTGGGAGTTTATACTGGCACAAAACGCTCAGGAGTGTGAGAAAAGAGCTACAGCAGAGAACATGCTCGTGCCACTCAGTTAATGGTATTGCCTYATCTGCAATATGCAAGGCAAAGCCACATCTCAGAAAGATCAAAGAAAACAGCTAAAACAATCAGGCTCCTAAAAAATCTCTCACAGGACTGACTTTCAAAATTTGTGGAACTGTCACATGACAGAGATGTCAATTTGAAGGAAATGGGACAAGGAATGACAAGCCCAGGGAAAGAACATTCATCATCCTTRATTCAAGACCTGAAAGGAATTGGCATTAGCTGACCATCACTTAAAATAATAMTTCTCTTTGGGAGCTGGCCTGCAAGAGGAAGCCCAGGGAGCAAACAGCAACACACTAGCATTGACAATGATTGATCTGAGGACAGATGGTGGGTCTGCAGTTGCACTGGCAATACCAACACGAGAGACTGTCCACAGGTACAGAACAGATCTTCATCCGACTTCCCAGGACTGCTCTCCAGCATCAGACACTCAGCAATGAAKAGTGGAATGTTGAGTTCCTGTAGGAGAACTAAGTCAACCCATAGTAATGGAAATGTCCCTTTCTCCTACATTCCAAGTAGCAATATGGGAATGCATTTTCTCTAGTTCTCCACCACTGACAAGCACCCACTCGAGTGTAAAGGCATGACCCAGCTTTACAGCTACACACAGCTGCATTGCAGCCACTCACACCACCTCTGCAAGAGTAAGCTTTAGCTGAAGCACAGAAGGCTTGTGCCAAATTGTGTTCACACAGAGTTGATGCAGGTGAAGAGCAAGTAGCATTTTGCYAGCAGAACCAAGAGCTCACACTTAGCCTGCAGTGATTTTATTGTAAATTCTCTGCTTCACCATTTCTCCTGAAACACTAYGCTAAAATGAAAGAGAAGCAGCATTTGTTCCAACCAAGGCAGAACTTTAGATTGCTCAGAAATAAAGTAAGAGGGCAGGCTGTGAAGAAATCACTCTGCAAACTACGGGAACTGTGGCACAGCATGAAATTATGGGCTTCTAATGGCCTCCATGAATACACAGACATCTACTGCTTGAAAAAAATCCGTCACGCAACTAAGTGAACATTCCTCTGTGGACACAGTTTTTGACTGCTAGTGGGTACAGAGGCCCTGTTGAATGGGGAACCAGACAAGCTGAGGAAAGCTGGAATCCCTGCCCAGACAGCTTACAGTTCACACAGACAGGGTGACAAAAGTGGGGAAAGAGCCACAAGACACAATCAGGATTACAAGGAAAACCACTGGAAGGGAAAGACAGCTTTGACTCTGAGAAGGAAATACTGGTTTGTCCTCTACTTCTAAAAATAGTCCTCAAGTGTCACAAAAACTTTGAGAAGGTAAGTTAAGTTGTGCATCAAAACTGAAAAWGGAATCCCACATAAGCAAACTTCAGTAAAAAGTAAATAATAACCTTTTGTTAAAAATGATATTATATATACAATATAATATTATACAATTAGAGATGTAGCAGAATTTGCAATCTTATTCATATCAATGAATCACTTAGCCTCAGCCTAAAAATGAAGTTTTCTGTATGTTGGAGTAACTGAATATCCCAACTTCACAGGGGAAAAGCTTCGGACATATTACAAATTTCCATACCCAGGCATATTCAGAAGATTACTTTTTGTATCCATAGGCAAATGGTGCAAGCTATCACAGAATGCACATAAACTGCTGAATAATTTCCAGATCTTAGCTTAACATTGGCTAATAAGCTGCCTTTAGAAAGAAACATTCACATTCTTGTCACTTATGAACAGGTGGACGCTCTGTTATTAATTAYGGATGACTGAGACAACACTCACAGGATGAAAAATCATCATGGTTGTCAAAGGAATTAGGTTTGTACTCAGAGATTTTTATGCAATTTTACTGTGTTTAAATTTTACAAAGATTCTCAACCACAGCTGTGAAATACTCAAGTTGTTATTAAAATGTACCAGTACCAACAGTTTTATACTCAGGGATTTTTTTTTTTAAAGCAAAGATACATCAGCAAACCCCTTGGTATCATAAGAGGAACGTACAGATAGCTTTTAATCTTGTGACACAAAACTAGAACTACAAGTTTGTAATTAACTAATCTAATAGCAGACTTAAAAGAGCCCTGATTGGACCTTTTTTATGTCAGAGCAATTCATCGTGGCAGATTATTTTTATCAGCTTGGAGATAGCAATCTTTCTCTGAAATAAGGTACTTCCAAGGACGCAGTGTTTACAAACAAGCAAAAGGTCTCAAGACAGAACATCTCTTTACATATATACACGTAACAGGAAGAAAAAGTATATACATCTGACAGGTTGAGGATTTCACTTAAAGCACCTAAAAGAAAATGGAGTTGCTTTGAAAATTCTCCAAGTGAGGACTGCAGAGGCAGCTTTTTGAAGATTAAACAACTTTATAAAGAAAGATTTCATATGGTGGAGATTAAACTTCAATTTCACCTGTTTGACTTCAGGTCCTTTCAATGATTTAGCTAAATAAATTTTGCCATTACTGAAAGCTGACATTATTTTACCATATCCAACCCACAGAAGCAAGACATGTTCTCTGAGGAAGGTCACTGTTTTTTTTCAAGACAAAACATACATACCTTTAAATCTGGAGAGAAGTTGTCTGCTGAGGTGGAGATGGAGTCAGATGACACAGCAGAAACAGATTTGGTGTGAGTAGAATGGTCCGACTGCGAAGTGGAAGCGCTATAAAGAGAAACACCAGAGTGTATCAAAATGGTGCTCAAGAAGGTTCAAAAGCTGACAAGTCCAGCCACTCAGTCATATCAGGCATTTTTCACTATTCTCACCCTTTCCATTCTCAGTTATTCAGCCCTCAGCAGTGCTTTACAAGAACCTGTTCTACTTGCCATTACCAGGCATTATCAAAGTGAACACAATTCGTTACTAAATCTCAGCTCAGACTGAGCCAACATTAACATAACCCCCAGCCTGTGCTGAGGAACACACTCAGTGCCCAAAGCTGGGTGAGCAGCTGCAGTGGAGCTGCAGGYTCAGCTGTGGGTGGCAAGAGCCCAAGCCAAGAGGCCAAAACTGCCAACTCTGTGCACAGCAAAGGGCCTGGGGACCTGAGGCCCAGGCAATGACTGGACACTCAGAAACATGGCAGGAGCCAATGACCCCCAGACCTTCCTGCACTTATGCTGTCATGGTATAAAATCCCAGGGCTTCCTTTGTTTGGGGTCCCTCCTTGGAGACACCAGYTCGAGCTGCTATTTTGTTATTTAGTTATTGCACCATGATTAAATGATTTGAAGCACTGGGATGYCTAAGACTCTGCTATGGGAAACCTGGGGTTRAGAGGGTACAGAATGGTCTGTCTGTGAGCGTGGGGGCTGTAGCTGTGAAGGGGCTTCAGTCCCAGCTCAGGTGGTGAGAGAGGGACAGTCAGACTGGGTTCTGGATAGCTGGATGGGGAAGTTCTCTTTATTCTGGATCAAATCTGAAATTACTAAGGGCCTCCATTTCAGCCTTTCAGATGGGAGATATTAGTGCGCTGCAAGGGGATGAAAACAGACAGACTCCTGAACGCACGCCAGCACAGCTCTAACCGCAGCTTTACAGTGGTGGAAGAAATTCAGAATTAAAACTCTTTTCATCACATACCATTTTTCTTCTTCAAGGATATGTACAAACCTGAGGAGAATTAAAAAGACTCTCCCAGCATACCTCTGTGGCGGTACAAAGTGCAATTTGCAAAATAACAAAGTAAAACAACAATTTTCTTTTACTGTACAGTTTTCCTAATATAGCTGTAAGCAATTAAAAGAAGCTTATATTTTAAGCTTATATTCTATCTCTCCTAGAACCCTAATTGCTCAAAATTAGCATTTGATACTAASGCTTTTAAAAACCCAGATGACTGTAAAGAAAGATCCTACATGGTATGACGTTACTCCCRGACATCTGCACAGCAATAAATGCTACCTGTGCCAATTAATTCCTACACTCTTACCAACCCCAGAAAGGTTTTAGCAGGGCGTAAAGACACTCTTAAGAATCACCCATCAGATTTGGAAGCCTAGCCTTGGCCAAAGCAGAATACCAGCAAAGTAGTACCATTACTACTTATATTAACTAGACATGTGACAACCTAGGAATAGCTCTATCTGAGCTTCAAAAGGGCCTGGAAATTGGTTAATTGGCTGAAAATTGTTTTGCTGCTAATAAAAAGCCACTAAAAGACCAAAAAGTTCCATTTTTTTTTCTATTCTTTGAAGTTTGGCAAAGTATTGCAGAGGCAGTGTTAAAAACATAAGGGACTACGGAAAATGGGGCTCTTGCTGGGATTTAGTTCTGTCTGTTCTAGGATTGAAGAGTCCTAGCACCTCTTTCATCCTACAGAGTAGAAATTTTAAAATGGAACCTTTAGGAACAGCAAAAAATTATTTAAAGTAYGTGACACTGGTGTAATCAATTTGCACAATTCCACTGAACACACTTGTTGTACAAGGTTCAACAGCTAATCACTCAGCCTTCCAACGTGTTCAACTCCTGCAGGGTTGCCAGGTAAACTGACATAACTCGGGATGGCCAGTGGCACTTATGCATACAACTCATGCCACAGCCACCTACAGTCTCTGTTCAGGCAGAACATTATCTTACACTGAAACGGAAAGAACTGAATCTGCAAAATCTCCCATTCTTGTGAATGAAAAGGCCTCATATATGCACCAAATTTGTGTATAGTTTCACATTATAACAAAACTGATATAAAGCATCTKCTGCTGCTGATGGGCTGCTCACATTCCCCTCTCCTAACCCAGCTGCACGCTGCTGCCATCTCCATCGTGCTGGATGGGCATCATGGGATGCACAGCTCAATCTGCTGATCTGATGGGGCARTAAACTATTAATAAACATGAAAAGAGTCTTCTGTTGGGTAACAAGGCYGACTGGATTCATTACATGGCCATATAAATCATCAGATGAAGCACACAGARAGGGAAAGAATCTGTATCTGGAGATGATGAGGAAGACTGAGAACACTGCGCACAGCAGCCTGCAGGCATRCTAAATTAGGCTTAGCACTAAACCACATTTTTACATTACTTTACTTAAAYGAGCTCAGATCCCTTATGTGTTCTCTTGAAACTTCTTTCAGCCTGGTTTCTGCACGGTCAGTCTTCATTTTCTAAGTATTCACTCTCATGTTTGTACTGTTTAATTAATTTGATTTTTAAAAGCATGTTAAAAAAAAAAAAAAAAAAAAAAATTGGCTCTTTTTGTTAACCAAGAAATGGA